CGAAATAAACCTTTCTTGTATTAGTTTTACAATGACGGGACCTTTTTCTTTTTCTTTTTTGTTATCTGTAAACCACTTTTTTTATCAGAAATCTTAGTTCGATTTTCAAGGGTAGTACCTTTTCTGAAAATAAATTTCATCTAGGTGATACTTTAAGGAGGCCATTTTCTAATTTTCCAAATGGTTTACATAATAATTGGAAAATTCTGAAAAAATGTAGAAACAACGAGAAAATTTACGAAATTTACTAATTTTCTCTTTTGTTTTGATTCAGTCAAAAATTTTCGTAGAGACTTAAAATTTTGGACAAACAACTTATATTTGATTTTTCTATGCGTGGTAAAATAAAAAAAAAAAAACATTTTTGAGCTATAAATAGGTATTTTATTTCGCGAGTTTTATGAAATTTTTATTCGCTAGGTAATCTGTGAATAAAATTATTAGAACAAACAGAAATGCCTGTACATTTAACAGGAGGTTCATTATAAGATATATTTTGTGGTCGAAAAAAAAATAATGAGTTTATTGTAGAATTTGCTCTTTATGAGAATTTTAATATCAAATTTTGACAAAAATCATAAATAGTACGGCCTTTTAAAACATGTATACCCCAATAAATTCCGCTCAGAATTGTTTTCATTAGTTAATCGTTGTGTACAGATTACATAAAATTCCCCCTCTATCTGTATCTTACCTTTTCAACTTTTAACCTACAACAGTAGGGCAGCCATGTCCGTCTTTTTTTTTTTTATATAATTTGGCCAAAAATAATCGCAGAAACCTGCAATTTCTACAAAATTATTGTAATGCACTTTACTAGTAATAGTAAAAATATATGGCGATTTTTAATTATTTTTAGATTTTTAGATTAAATGAATTCTACGCCGTGTAATTCCTACTTTATAATATAGTTTTGAAATTTTTCCATAATCTAACACTGAATATGTTATAACGATCCATTATACAACATTGCAGCTTGTATACGAATAATTAACACGTGTCCTCGGCAGATTGTGCACTAATTTAGTTTATGAGCGCGCGTCGCAAAGATTAAATCATTTTCAATTATATACCAGAGACGTTTAATTTACAATCACAATAATTCATGGGATTTGTTTGGTCGGCGGTATTTTGCCGCGTATCATTATAATAATTTCGTCCTAAAACTTATTATCGCGGAATTTCATAACTCAATGTAGTCTGTTTGTATCCGGGACTCTGGATATATTATTTGAAAGTTGTTTTTATATTTGGGCGCACAGATCGCGCCACCTACACCGTGGCGTGCTTAATTTTATCTATACATTCCCAAGTGTAATAATAATTTTTGTAGATTTTTATGCGATAAATGTATCGTGATTTTCTACCTGTTTTATCCCGATTTTAGTATCTTTTCAAAAAACATTTGAGCTCTTACGAAGCTATTTATAGACATTTTAATTTTGCGAGTTTTGTACGTAATTTGTATTTGGTAGATACTCTGCAGGTAAAAATTATTAGACTAAACATAAATGCATTGGAAATGTCATAGTAGGTTTATTATATAGGTCGTACTTAATGATAAGAAAAAAAAATTGGGTATAATGTAATATTATATATATTTTTTTTTTCATTAAGATTTTTAAAATCAAATTTAGACGAAAATCGTAAATATTACGACAGTTAAAACATGTTTCACCAAACTTTGTTCCTAATAAATTTTCGTTAGAAATGGTTTATCATCCGTTACAGGTATAAATTAAATAATTGTATGTATCCCACTTTTTCAACTAATCATAACTATAGATAATAAATAACAGTGGTCGCACCCGTCCCCAGAATCAGTCCTAAATATTTCAATTTTTTATTATTTAAAAGACGCCGAATTCAGTTCTGAAAAACTATAAGCAGGGCAAAATAGGTAATCACGATAAATGTGCAACTTTAAAATTATTGCCACTCCCGAGAATTCATTTGTTATTCGTTTAACCCGAGGAACAGCAGACTCACATGTCCGATTTTTATATCCAACGGCGTGCAGGCTTACATTATTACACGCATAGCATATTATAATATAATTAAATCGACTCTCAATAATATTATTATTATAACTCTATCGATTTTAGCGGTTTTTAAACTAAGTGATTCGGCACAGTAGATATAAATTTCGGATTTCTGACACGAAGGTCATAAAGACTAATTTGTATTTTTGTTCGTAAAAATATCCTTCACGACGGCGTGTGTAATGCAAATTATACATTTATCGGACGTTATTCTTCGTGATAATTATTATAGAGTGGTTCCTTTGTAACTGATCTGACGGTCGTCATTTTATTCATTAATTGCGCCGTCGGCCGACAGCAGCGTGACGACCAAATCGACTAAATCGAATAGTATAAACAGACAAGCCACCGATTTGATAGGCCAGTCTCTCGGGCAATAATTTTATGTTCAAAGACTGTAACGGGATTTCGGACGGTATTTCCAAATGCGATCTAAGACCGTGACCGGGGGGGGGGGAAGTCTGCAGGGGATCTAAATCGCTTAAATTCTTCGATGTTTATCGATTAAAAAAAAAAATCGTCCACTTTTGACGAATTTCGTTCGGTATCCCGGATTCCCTCACAGCGTTGTACAGCCTCTTGTGCCCCGTGTGACTAATATGCGACTGCATACCTATATTCACTTCGGTGGCGCGCGCACGGAATAATATATTATTATATTATTATTTTACTAGGTTAACCCTCGACCGCGATCTCCGCACAATCTGTTTCGCCGCCGGCAGACTAATCAACTAATTCGTCCGGTTGCAAAACGATAAATCGTACCGCGTACCCATACACTTTACCGTCGATTCGAATCCGGCAGAGGGACGAGGATTCTCGCAGCCGTGAAATACACTATACATTTGTGGAATAAACACAGTCTGTCGCATATAGGGTAGTAATTAATTATTATATAAAATAGAGATTCATAAACTGCTGATTTGTGTGGTACGCGACTGAAAGGACCGGAACGATTGCAAGTTTACAAGAGTGATACATCTGATCGTATGAGCAATGTTTTGTGTAGCGTTTCCAAAGCTGTATTTTGCGTGTCTAAATTGCTTCCTGATTCTGTTATATGAAGTAAAAATATTACGGGCTTTAACATACTATATTCAAACGTAACGAATAAAAATGTCATACAACGTATAGGGAAAGAAACAGAAATCATGAATATAGGTACGCGAAGAAAAAATATGTAAGTACTAAGCTCAAATACTTTAGGCGTACAATGTAGATGCGATTCCGGGTGAAAGTGGCCCCAGGGGTCGAGACCTCCTAAGTCCATATTTAAAAAACAAAAATGTATACCGTTAAAAGTAAGGACGGGTCCAGGATCTGTTTACGGAGGAAGCATTTGAATTGAACAAATTTCTGCTATGCTGAATTTGTGATTGACAATAAAGCCATACAATATGTGTACAAAGATAATTTTTTTTTGGTTTTTGGCGAACCGGGGGAGAAAACTTGCACTCAGAGCTCTCTCCCTTTACTTATCCTTGGTTAAATTACAATTACGGACGACCAATGTATTTCCGACTATTATAAGATCCGCGATTGATAAAATGCGCTGTGATTAATACGAGATACTCAATTTAATACCGAATGCAAGAAAAAATTATTGAATTTTACCTTCGTGGGGGAGGAGAGGAGCGCAAGAATAGAAGTAAAATATAATAAAAAATAAATTGGTTTAACAACTCTGCTGAATTGTTTCGTAAAGTACAGAATTTATCTTCGTTAAAAATACGGTTTATACACGTATGATAGGATACGTTTTTTTGATTATATATTATTACGCGCATTAGTAATACTAACGATCGTCACGGGTGAATTACACATAGGCAATACAACTATTGTGTAATAATTATTTATATCAGCTCGTAAAACGTTAATAATTATTTTGTTTTTAATAATTCGACCGAAAATCGTATATATTATCGTCTAGACGTCAATTATATACGAGCTATGTAAATACCTGCATTATGTACGTACCTATAGGATACGGTTAAAACGAATTATTGGACATTTGAACCGATTGAATTTTAATATTTAACATGCGAAACTAATGACGACCGCACGCGGGCCGTGGAAATTCGTAAATGATTAATAGGTCGTGGAACGTGCACTTTATCGTCTCTGTCTGTCTAACGGGCAATATGTATGGTAAAAATGTGTTTTCGTATTTTCAATAGTGCCCAGGCATCGTTTGTATAAACACGATTTCGGTGCCAAAGTAAACACTATAGAAGTTTCAATAAATTACTCCGTAGAGCCGTTTTTTGACATTCCCCCCCCCCGTCAATTTGTTTCGTGACGCTTTACTACGTCAATATATTCAACGTATCGTACTGGAGTATAAAATATCCAAAACAACCGCCGAGCATCTAATAATAATTTCGATGCTATTGTATTGAGATGCAATGGTAAAAGGCAAAATTTAGGATATAAGAGGGAAGTTTTAGAGAGAAGTAGTATAAGAGGGAAGTAGTAGGGAAATGTGAGAAAGGGAGCTGAAAAATTAAAAGCTTGAGCAAATATGTTGATATCGATACATTTTCGGAGCAGATTTTTTTTACATAAAGTATAACGAAATTTTTATTTTGAGCTTGGCCTATTTTTATTATTTTTTTTAATATTTTCCGAGGAGTTTATTAAACCACCGTATGAAATTGAGTGGTTTTTATTATCCAAAAATGAAATCATTATCAGATTTTTATATTTTGGTCAATATTTATATAAGTAGTTACGAGTTCTCAGTGTAATGGATAATTTATGAACGGAAGAACACACTTTTCGGTTTAAAATAATTCTCCGAATGTTTCTCAAAATAGGTAGGTGCATACAATTCATATTCTTTGTCTGGTCCAAATGACGTTTTATTAATTAACAATTATAGTCAAATAAAGCCAACATTTATTTAAAATTAGTTAATTCGGTTTGTTTTAAAATAAATCGTTATTGATTGTTCTTCACCTTTTAACAAACCACTTATTCATCAGCATCGAAATACTCAAAAATATATCTTCCATGTCAGTTACCATGACAATCACAGCGAAAATGAATTCATGTGGTGCAATTTCGTATTTTCCACCCCAAAGAATATTCTGAGTATTAAATGCCAAAACCTATAAAAATGAACATCCAAATAGATATAGCACACATTTTAACTAAATAACCGTGAATCAATTGATAGAATCTAAAATAATGATAATAACTATAGGAACCTAACTCATCATACATTTAATTTATATATAATAATACAATTAATTTTTGATTGATTAATTGAATATAAATATTTTTAGTTACGATACATATACCTGTATAACCAACTAACTATAAAATACAGTCAAGGTAATATTTTTTTCTTTTTATAGGTATATTAAATTATATTAAGTATCTCACTGAAATACTTACGACTGAATAGAGAAAAGTTAAAACACTTCCCAGGAATATTGTTACTAGTTTAATCTTACAGTACAATGTAAAAAAAACTATCGAAGTTATGAAAGCAAATATCAAAATTAACGATCCCATTATAGCCATAAGAGTTCCACGTTTCATTATATAAATCTGAAAAATAATTTGATTTTGTAAACTTGTTATAAATAGGTCACATTAAAATATGATTTTTTTTTTTTTTTTGCGTTCGTGGTAATTTTATGGAACCGAAATTATAATATATAGAATTTGGATAAAACACTTTTTAAAAGTGTTTAGGAAAAGTATTTGAATATAAATATCAGGTGATCCATTTAAGTAGATACACTCATTATTTCGGAAAGTATTATCCCTGAATTTGTTTTCTAGAACACTTAAGAAACAATCTGCTCTAGAATTGTATATCTATGTTATTTTTTGTCACCCTTATTTTCGGGGGTAAAACCACTTCCTAATTTTGATTTTAAAACTGCAATCTATATTAAAAATGTCATAAATAGATGGAGTATTAGTTAAAATAAATTTTGGTGTTGACATTTTTGATTTTCGTCGATCCGTTGACGAGAAATTCTATTTTTAAGTTTTGGTTGAAGGAGATTAGTGGAGTATTATTTGTGTGGCGGTAGAGTTCGGGGTTTGTTAATAATTTTTCTCTAGTATTTCCTCCAACCTATAATTAAAAGTAGATGTCTTGTCAACGGCTTGACAGAAATCAAAAATTTCAACACTTAAATTTATTTTAACTAATACTCCATCTATTTATGGAATTTTTTTTATATAGGTTGCCGTTTGAAAATCAAAAGTAGATAGTGATTTTATCCCCAAAAATAAGGGCAACAAAAAAATAACATAAATATAAAATTGTAGAGCTGCTTGTTTCTTAAATATTCTAGAAAACAAATTACAAAAAAATTTAATACTTTCCAATATAATGATTATGCCCACATAAATTGATCACCGGTACAACAAATAGTATTTAGAATATTACGTATTCAAACATTTTACAATAATAGCATTTTAAAAATTTCTGAATACTTTGCGATAAATTTAATATTAATTTGAATAATATATTAGTAGTATAAGTAAAATATGTGATGTTAACTACGTTAAACAAATTAACCTTCAACTAGATTAATTCCCTTTTTCGAATGTGATAAAATATTATATTTAATACTTGCCGGGCAACACGTTGCTAATATTGTGACTGCTGCAGTTATTCCAACTCTGTATAATAATGCCAACAAAATAAACTCCCATTTGAATTCCATTATAGCATAGCTCAATAAAACGCCCATAGAAACAAACTAGAAATTTCACAATTTAAGTGAATTTAAATGTATACAATTGGACTATGCTACAGTTCCCAAATGAATGACATATACCTACCAAGTAAGGAAATGTCATTAATTTCTGATATTCAGTAATATTATGCGTATGTATTAACTCTTTAAACAAATCAAATTAAAGCACCCGAAAGTCGTATAAATATGTTAAGCTAAATTCATCTTCTTACTTGGCCATCGGATACAGTCACATGTAGTCCGTTATTATATTTTAAGCATTTTATATACATACTTGAATTGTAACAAGCATGTAATTTGTTGGTGCATACTTTCGAATATATTCGTAAAAACTCAATCTGTACGAAGTAACTAAGTATATAAACCTGAAAAATGATAACGTTATGTTGGACTGTAAAACTTGTTAAATGTTAAGATGCGGTTTGAAAAAATATATTCTTATTACACGAATGGTATAAAAATGAGCCAAAAATATTTCTTAAGGATGTCATGCGCCTGGGGTCTGAAAAGAAATAAAACACAATTTGATAGTTTATAACAATATTGGCAAATAGATTAGACTGTACAATTTCTATTGTTATTGGCTTATTAATTATTAGTTTATTACCAAGGTGGTACTTACATAATTTTTATTCGCTAATTTGTTTGCTACTTACGAGAAATTAAATATTAATGTCGGAATAACTTCAACGATCAACATGGTTGATAATATGCAGTATACTATTTTTACAAATCGTGTTCTTGTTTCATTTGATTGTAGTTCATCGATTCTAAAATAATTATTGCGACGGTCCACCATCAATTTAATATTTTGACCAGTATAATGATTATTGTTGTCTGATAGTCGATTTAGTAGTAAACTATTTGAATTATGTTCTAGCAACGGTATTCGCTACGCATTTCAATTGAAATATAGGTATTAATATCTATGTATAGGTAATATTAAATATTTATTTGTAAAAACTTAAATTTTGTAAAGTAAATATGTAAAAGTAAGTACCTATTGCACACAGAATAAACAATTTAAATCTTAAACTCATTATGTCGCGACTATTATATCATTATGCAAAATAAATAAATATTTAATTCACTTGTATTCACTTGTAATCACTTGTACATGTTAAATGCACCTATTACTGTATAAATTCTAAAATATGGCATATTATAAATGAACGTTCAAAAATCGCTATTTTTTTAAACAATTTATTTTAAAGATTTAGATACTACAAAAAGTCCTAAAAATGGATTCAATTTGTAGTTATGAAATATAGTAAAGAATAGAATATTTTTTGATAAATAATTTAGTGTTTAGATTTTGTTTATAACAGTAATTTTTAAGAATTAAAAATCTTACGTCGTACGGATGTAATTTTTTATCTGGATTGTTTCCGCTATTGCATGTTTTTTTACCGCATGGACTACTCAATAAAGCATCTTCAGTATTTACGTCAATGTTAATCATGCCGTCTCGCACATTTTCTTTATCTTTTTCTAAAGATTTTGGAAACTAATTGAATTGTTCAAATTACAAAAAAAAATTAGACATAGGTACATAAGAAAATGATTTTGATAGAAAGAGAAAATTATGGATAGGTATCTATTGAAAATTAGTTTAAATTTATTAACATGTTTAAAATAACAAAATGTTGATTAAAAATAAATTATTTAGTCGAAAACATAATTAGTATCAAAATGGGTAATAAGTTATATTGTTTTTTTTTTTTTTTTTGCTTGTTTGTGGCACTACATTTTTGACTTAACAAGTTTTATTTATAAATAAATGAATTTATTAATAATTTATAAATAATATTATACATCATATTTAGTAGAAAATTAACTGCCGAACACTTAAATAACACAAAAGATAGATTTTTATTATTAATATTACTTCTTTGGACACCATTATGCAATAGTGTTCACGTTAACAATGCTGAATATTGTAAATTGAATAGTGTGAATAACAATAAAGTGTTTACATTTTACAATAACTTATTATTTTCGTTAACCAGATACGCATAAACTATTTTAAACATGTTTGTTAACTCACTTGATTCCATGACAAACTTGTATTAGGCTAGAACAAAATAAAAAAAAATTATTGATACTGAATACGTGTGTGCCACTATTTTAGGTGAAAAAGTGAGAAAATAGAATACATTAAGTTATTTAATTTATATCCACAAGCAACGATAAACCATTGCTAATGAAAAACGAGTCTGAGCGAATTTCGCTAATATACGTTTTGAAAGGCCGACATTTTTACGATTTTTGTCAAAATTTAATATTAAAATTCACATAAAAAAAAAAATTACTACATCAAACTCAATTTTTTTTTTACCACAAATCATGATCTATAATTTATTAGTGACGAGTATTAGCATAAACCGATATCGTTTATATGTGAGTATTGGATATCGATTTTTTTTCATAGCCGATATTTTCGGAACAATTTTTTTTGTTGAAAAAAAAAAATGTATAATTTCGATGATAATAATAATTACACAATGAAAAAATTGTTTCAAACTTCAAATGTTAAATGTTACCTGGTTTATAGTAGAGAGTGCCATCGTTCAATTATATTGATTTTAAGCACATTTGTGGCCGCGTGAATAGAACTTGTTCAATTGACATTAACAATATTGGTAAATATTAGGGTATAGTTTAATCTCAATATTGGCTCACAGATTTTATTTCAAATATGGGTGCGGTTATCGGTATTATATTAATAGTAAATATTTGAATATCGGATATTCGAAAAAATGTTATTATGGTTCACCACTACTTATAATGAACTTCTTGTTGAATTTTCAAGCATTTCTGTTTGGTCAAACAATTTTGTCCGCCAAGTTTCTGTTAAATAAAAATTACGTGAAAAATTCACAAAATTAAAATATCTATTAATAGCTCACAAGTTATAAAAAATGTGAATAACTAGTTAATAATATATATATATATATATATATATATATACTGCAATACTCTGACAAATATAATTAATTTAATCAACTAAGTATAAAAAAAAAAATCATGAAACATTATAAACGCTATATCGACAGTCGGCTGGAGAAAATTCAATATTGTTTCTCGTGTACTTTTTTTTTTTTAGAAAAACTTGGGGAACTGGGAAAATTGTTTCAAATATAGTACCACCGGTCGAAAAAAATACATCTTTGTAAAACCAATAGCTTCACTGCAGTCAAACCTATAAATTGTTTACTTTTTGAACTCGAAATTACTACTTCCGATAGCTCGAACTTTTTCCCAGGTCTCTTTGGATTTTGTATTGTTAAAAAAAAAAAAAAATATGACCAGCGCGTTTCACGGAAATAATGGTATGGTCATATATAAATAATTGTTTTTTTTTTTTTTTTTTTGTATAAACATTAATAAACTTAATAATATACGAAATACTGCAGTACATAATATTATAGCTAGCACACAAAAGGTAATAATAATATTTAAATCCGATTTCGGTCGAGTATAGTGTTTTGAACCGCGAAACAATGTCCAAAAGAGTTTTAAATCGTTTTTGTTGATAATAATAATATGATAATACGATAATACACAGTATAGGTACCTCGTAAATATGTATGTATTATAATATACTCGCGGTTATACAGCACCAACGACATGTGCAAGCCTACGCGAAAGAGTTGTTTTTATACGCCGAATCTTCACGCACCGGTGCAAACTGAATTTATGGTCGGGACGCATTCCGCCTCGTAAATGTATATAATACACGATTTTATTATTATTTTTCGAACGAGGGGTAACTAGTCGTGTAATATGTTTATACGTAAACATATTTACGGTTTTGGTTTCGTCGGAAATCGCCGCTCGGTTGCACGTTAAAACGTAATACAGTTTTACAATAATTTTCGTATAGGTAACCGAAAGTACATACTACATTTCGCAAAGGGAACGCGTAAAATCTTGGAACGTAAAAATTTAGAATTCAGATTTATAATGTAATACACGATTGTAGTCTCTAGTTAATATCCACGTTGATGCATTCGTCGTTTCTGTCCTACAAACGTATGACATAGCAAATTTGAATTAAGCAGAACTAATATTTTGTGCTTACGGTTTTAATATTAAAGCGGATTGAACTATTACCAAACCTAAAGATTTAGAACATTGTCTGCGTTCAGTATTTTTTCAATGTTTTTAAGCGGCATGAAAATATGTTCAAATTGCGATATTTCACACATTTAGCTTACAAATTAAAATTACGAAAATACGTATACAAACATAGTCAATGTTCTTTCCTTTAAGTTTGATAGTAATTAATTTTGATATTAAAACTAACAGCCCGAAATTGGTTCTACCGATCGAAAATTTTCTATCGTGAGTTTCTATGACGGAGAAACTAAATGCATGTGTAGCGTCTTCTTAAATAATTAATCAATCGTTTCTCCAACAATACATGAACATGACAAGAATGTGATATTATTTGTATTTTTTGGGGTGTGGGTCCTGGGTCTCGACCCCCCAGAAGAAAAAATATGGATCAAAAGTCATAAATGACTTGTTACGAAGATATAGAGAAAGAGAACATTAATTTACACCAGTTGATTTTTTTTTATCATGAACCAGTAATTATCTCGGAATTTATAATATTATAAAATCACTTAATATTTGAACAAATTTTGAACCCCCCCCCCCCTCGCACAAAAAAATTGAAAATATTCCACTGTTTATATTTAAAAGTAATTTGCACAGTTTTAAATTCTTAAAATATCAAATTAATCCCAGTACTCAGATGGACGTATCTGCACTATCGATAATCCTAATCCGCGTGTATAATATATCTTATCCGTTTGTAACGCTTTGTTAACTTATCATGACAACCAAATATTTAATACTTTATAACCAGTCTTGTTTTATATGGGCAGAAAATTGGTAATATAATAATTTTTGTTGAACACGACAAACGATAATAATTGAATTTACATTTGCAAATTGATTCGTGGAGTGTATTTTATTGCAGTACATTAGAAATAAAAAAAAATCCGAACTTACTTTTCGCGCTGTTTCGTAGGAGGAAAGTTTAAAAGACATAAGAAAATTTAATATAATTATTTAGTTTATAAAATGATATTAACGATTAACCGTTGCAATCAAATAATTATTCTGAACAGAACTCAATGAACTACAAAGATTATATGCGCCACTATATCGTTTTGTTTTACATATTATATTCAATGTAACCCAAATATCAACATCAATAAAATCAATGTCGATACATTGGTATACGTCGATGTATAATAATTTGTTGTCAGTTTTTAAATTTTGTAGAAAACTGTTGGGAATCTATGAAAAACTTTTTAAATAAAATAACATTGGGTAAATTATCTGCATCTTACATTGTAAAAAAATCAGAATTTATTTTTTACTAACTAAAAAAATACTATACTCAAAATCTATAACGGCTAATGTTTTAAACTCAAACGAAGTTACTCTCCGAAATTAAACAAGAATCATTAAATTGTGTTAATAAATTCAAATTACTACCTATAATCTATATGGTATTATACTACAGTCTTAAGACATAAAAATCAACAAAAAAATTCGATATAAGTCGATGTGAGTCATAAACAAATAATACCTATCTTTTTTATATCAAATGAAACGCATGTAGGCGACCTTAAAATATATACCCACTCTTTTTGTTTTTATTAGTATTCCTTTTTGCAACATAAATTTTGAATCTTTTAATCTAAGTATATAACTATAGTTAAAAAGAAATAAAATATTTAAATCGTCGCAATACGTATTGTTAGAGTCGACTGCGAATTGTGCGCCTGGAAACACAAATATCAATGGGACGGATGAAAACTAGCTAAAAATATTTATAACGGAACTAAAATTTAGTACGTTAGGTATACTCGTACAGTCCTGCGCGATATTCATTTGTAATATTCGATAGTCGACAACACCTCTTGAAACAAACACTGGCTACACCACGTGCAAGAATTTACAACTGTACAAGTTAGTAAGTTATTAGCTAGCGACTTGTGTACACGCAACGGTGGCCACATATTACATTTAAAATTAATAATTTAAGTTATACATTTAATTATAAGCTGATTGTTAATTATTTATTAATTAATTAAAAATTATGGGTGACGTTCGTTGTTGAACAATGGAATTCGTTGTCGAATTTATAAATATGTTCAAAACGTTTCCATGTCTTTGGAAAATCAAGTCAAAGGATTACAGCAACAATTATAGTAATTTTGTATAAATTCTACAACAAATTAGGTATTATTTTAAATTATCAAATCACTAGGTAAACCTTAAAGTCATGAGACGTTCTTCTGGAGTTATGCTTTTCCACATTCCTGTAACTAAATTTTTAATCTTAGATCTAATCCACGCTAATAAAATATCGAAACATGCGCTGTCTGCCCGTAAACAGTTTTAAAAATCGTCTGGCGAAAGATTTCACGTATTTCTGCGAATAATGGTAAATATCCAAACCGTTGTCGATATTCTTTTACTCACAACTTCGTTCTCGTTGGTTACAAGTATGAATTAATTAACTTTATGTATCTTGCCTTCCAAACTATCCGCCTACATCAGTGGCCGCATCCGTCCCCAGCTCGTTTTTTTTTCCGGAAATTTCGATCTCTACTACGCAGTAACCTTATTGCCGTTGATAACGAACTAAAATATGTAGCGGTATCACGGACCGCAATATAATATAATATATTATTCACTTTTGGAGCATTAATCAAACCAAATAATAAATAATAAACTCGCGTAGCCCACTGTTGTTTTATTCTGGCTGGCAATCGTATTTTACTGTTCGGCTATAGGTGCAGTATCGCGCAAAACGTGTATTTGTTCGCTTCAAACGATTGCCTACGATACTTTAAGTTAACGCGTTTCGGTCGAACT